TTTCTAAGGCTACATTCCATGACTGTAAACTAGACAGGGAAGTTGCAACACCATCCCAGTGGGTGGTATAGTTTCTATAGTTGTGTGAAGAAAACAACAGTGAGTTTTGACAATGTTTACAACTTATCATTAAAACTTTCTAATGCCAGAGAAAAATTAATGAAAAAACAGCTGGAAGCTGGGCCATTCTGTCCACCAGCATTATAAAGAGAACAGAATGGATGAAAGTTGGACTGAGGAGAGAAGCCAGTAACATAGAATTTGAATGTGAGGTGAGCCATGTTGGAGACTCCAAAGAAAAAAATCCTGAAAAAAATCCTCAACTTCATCCCTGTATGTATGTGTCTGTTATTCAGAGAAAGTTACATAACTGTTGCATTAATACTTCTGTGAATGATAATGTTCTGGCTAATGGGCAAATGTGCCTTGCTTTCTGCCCGCCTCTGAACAGGAAGTTAAATCAACCAATCAGCATGCTGGACACGCATCTCCACACAACACATAGTTGAGATTTGGGAGATGTACACCTTGGCCTGTCTGCAACCATCTGAAACCCACCAACCCCTTTGCTGTGTAGATATGCGCCCGCACCTACTCGCAGTTGCAAACAAGTCTAAATCAACTTTTACACACACAGAGACACACAAATTCAACTTCCCCAATCACACGATCCAGAACAGAGCTATTAATAAGAATTCCAGAAGCCATGATCTGCAAACTTTCCTTAAAAGGAGCAAACTTTGGCCATGCTGGGCTAATGCCCATTTCCATTAGCTTATTATTTTTAGATGGTTATGTTCTTGAGCTGCAAAAGCAAACAAAAAATCCTAACTGAATTCAAAACACTTATCTGTGGCCTCGCAAAAATGTTTCAGTAATAAACACGGACACAGGAGTGTCCTAATTAATGTCAATTGAAAATCTAGGGTGAATCTAGGCAAGGGACAAAAATGGTGACATGTAGCAGACAAATCTAGACATTTTTCTCCTTGCAGTGGAAACATTAGACCAGTATTTTTCAACCTTGGGGATTTTAAGATGTATGGACTTCAACTTCCAACTGGGAAATTCTAGGAATTAAACTCCATACATATTAAAGTTCCTGAGAAACGCTGTATTAGACTGATGCACGCTAAGAGTTGAGAGACATTTTGTTCGAGCACTGCCTTTCAATATAAGCCCTGATTGCAACCTATAAAACCACAATATCTTAAAGATTGGTTCTAAATAAACCAGATATAGGAAAGTTGTGACTTTTGGGTCTTTAAGAATTGTGATACATGACCATCAATTTTGTTTCCAAAGTCTTCAAAAGAGAGAGGGGGTGGGAGAAAGGGAGAGAAGAAAGCAGTTGTGATGGCAACCAAGTGTTGACTGATAGTTTGTTGCAAAAGGAATGTGTGTAGGAAAAGCAGGTAGCAGAAAAATAGATGTAGTGTAAGCAAGAGATGTACAAAGAGTGGTACTATCCTTGTATATTGCAGATATGCTGCTGACCAACTACCCTTCCCCCTATCCTGAATGTGTTCCTCATAAAAAAAAAACCCCACACACTTGAGACAATCAGACAGTGATCTGAAAAAAGCAAGAGACTGCAGTTCATTACAGTGTAGTGCTTTGTGAAGTAACAGTCATTATGTAGTTGATCTCTCTCCTTTTTTAAGGATGACACTCTTTATTTGGGGACATAATTTGTATTAAATACGGTTTAGTACAAGAGACTTTCCATGTCAGACTGATAGAAGCTGATCGCGTGATTCATCATCAACAAAACTTCTAATGCTGCTTTTGGGGCTTTACTTTAATTTCAGCCAAGATGCAACAGGTCTTTAATTTTATTTCATTTTTAAAGCAATTAATATTGATACCAAAGTGCAAAACAAGAACTACTAAATACCTTTAGGGAGACATCACATTCAACTAAAAATTGAACAGGATTAAAGGAATTCTAAACACCAGTTCACAGTCTGGGTGACATTATAGGTATTTTTATTGATATCTAGATCTTTCTCTTGTTTATCACACACCAAAACAGGAGAAGCACAGAGAAAAATCTAGAGCCATTATCTGTATACATATATCTATGTACGTACACTACCAAGTAGCCCTATAGCACTGGGATGAACAGTTTTGAAATTAAACTTATTTATGATGCAAACATAAGTAAGTAGGGCTACTTGCTGATTTACAAAACATTTTCAGTGTTCATTCAACATGTAAGTATTATTTCAAAATTACAGAAATATGTTTTTAAAAGCTGCATGTAGGTCTATGAAAAGATTTGATTCTGTCTATCTTCCTGTTACACCCTCTCTATGTGAACAGTTTCTCAGATGTTCCTGCTTAGATTTAGCCAATTATCATTCAACCTTTTTCTAGCAGGCAACATACGTAGCAATGAAACCATAGATCTGGCTTTGAATGCACAGACAGTAAACATAACATATAACGATCCCAGTTCTGCTCCAGAGACGTATGTTCAAAAGATGGCAATCTAGTCACTTAGTTGTTTGTATGAAATTCACAGTGTTTCCCCTACAACATACTCTTTTTTTGCTTGATGTTTGCAATGAATATATAACATTAAAATAAAGGATTTTATTTTAGAATACCATATCTGGCTGCAAATATCCTGAAAATAACCTCTCTTTGTGACCATCAAGTGGGAATCCAGATATCTGCCACCCAGATAGTATGTGCCTAGCATTAACCAAGGCTGTATATGGATCTCTTGAATCAGAGCAGCCATCTTTCTGGTCTGAAAAAAACCCTCCTGTGTGAGACATCAAAAGTTTCATTTATCTAGAAAGCCCCGACTCATGTATATTTTTCAAAGTGGCACTCACAGTTCATTCACAGGTTGCACCAAACCCAAGATGGTCTTCCCAAAGATGATTTTTTACGAGGCAACTGGACCTCCTTGTTTTACTTTGAAGACATTTCGCTTCTTATCTAAGAAGCCGAAGAAGCTTTTTGGATGAGAAGCGAAACCTCTTCAAAGAAAAACAAGAAAGTCCAGTTGCCTTGTGAAAAAGCATCTGCGGGATAACCAAGACGGTCTTCTTAATAAACTAAGTTAATTGGATAGTCTTCTTCTGGGTTAGTTAAATGTTAAAAGTCAAAACATAACTGAAGAATATACATACAAACATACACATACTCACATATACATATATACACATTCACATTCATCCATTCATTCCACGGTGTGCTGTAAGAGAAAGCTTTCAATGGAGCAGGGCCTGAAGGAGGAAAGGACAAGGAAAACTTCAATGGCCTATCTTAAATGTCTCTTGCTTTTTACCGGGTTGTAGATCAGAAGGATGAACCAGCTTCCTAGCTATTCATCTTTCTGAGGCAACAATTTGCAGCTTAGTCTAGATGTTAAGAATTATAGGATGGGAAGGCACCAGGTTGCCCTCTAATTATCGATCCTCTCAATGCAGGATCTGCAATGTAAGATGCAAATACCTGGTGGGGAAATGAAGAGAAACAAAATTAATTAAACAAAATGAAGTCAAGTTGCTGAGAAAGTAGGAAATGCAGATCAAGGACCTTGACTCATGTGGGTCCTAAATGACAAGTGTTTGTAAGCAATGTCCAGGTTATTTACAATCAAGGGTAAAGAAATCCTGTAAGAATGTCAACCTCCTCATGCCACAGCAGGAAATTTTTGTCACTACCAAGACTGAATTTTCATAGCAATCTAAACAGCTTCATAAAATATATTTATGGACACCCTTCCCTTCCCTGAAAAGTCAAGAATTACCAATAGAGTTACTTAAAACAGGTCATATCAGTTTTCTCATGATTATTCAGATTTTTACAAAAAAAATCCTAGACATTAACTGTTTGAAGAAAGTCTTTTAGTAAGTTCTTTTCAAACTCTGCTGAGTATTTTATTTTTGATAGTATTTACTTATCTTATAATAGCTGCTCCTAATTTAATGTAATATGAAAACAGCTACATTTAAGGCTTACAACTCAATTAAAAACAAGGCAAATGAATTTGAAAAGTTCTGGTTCAAAGAACTTCATGAATTGTTAAAAAGACTTGGATGAATAATAAGGTCTCCATGTGTTACTATATAAATCATGTAAATATAAATCATGTCAGAGAGTGAAACCATCCCAAAGCTTTACACATTAATGTTCAACCTCCTCAGCTTTATTTGACAAGGTCATTTTGAAAAAGTGATGTGCTCTTCCTGATCTAGGCCATAGTGTTTAACTACATACTATTTTCTTTTAAGAATGCAGTAATACAGGTAGTCCTCAATTTACAACCACAATTCAGCCCAAAATTTCTGTTGCTAAGTGAGGCTTTTCTTAAGTAAATTTTGTCCCATTTTACGATCTTTCTTGCCATAGTTGTAAAGTGTGTCATTGCAGTTGTTAAGTTAGTAACATGGTTGTTAAGTGAATCTGGCTTCCCCATTAACTTTGCTTATCAGAAGGTTGCAAAAGGTGACCTCATGACCCCGGGACACTGCAACCGTCATAAATATGAGTCAGTTGCCAAGCAGCCAAATTTTGATCACCTGACCGTGGGGATGTTACCATGGTCTTAAAGTACAAAAATGGTTATAACTCACTTTTTTCAGCGCTGTTGTAACTCTGAATGGTCACTAAAATGAATTGTTGTAAGTCAAGGACTACCTGTATTCTTTGTAAACTCTTCTACAACTTATCTGACTAAACACAGTCCAATGCTGCCTGTAGTCACACTGAGCTGCTATATAAACTTTAGATCAGTGGTTCTCAACCTGTGGGTCGGGACCCCATTTGGGGTCGAACGACCATTTCACGGGGGTCGCCAAACAACGCAGTCCGCCATTTTTCCCCCCTTTTCCTTAGCTGTGCTACTCCCTTTTATTCTATTGGCTTTTGAAAGCCAATAGAATAGACTCTCTTGAATAGAGTCTAATTCTATTGGCTTTCAAAAGCCAATAGGAATTGTCCAGGCTGTCTCTGCCCTGCTGAGCCCGCCAAAAGTCCCATTCTGCAAACGGTGCTGCACCAGTTGAGTAGTCCTCGACTTACGACCGGTTGAGTAGTCCTCGACTTACGACCGGTTGGGGGTCGCGGCATTAAAAAGGTTGAGAACCACTGCTTTAGATCATTTGAGGAATGGGAAATGTTTCCCCATTTAGTCCAACAATTGCAGAGATTTTAAACCTCAATTGTTCTTGGGGAATTCTCTGAATCAGGCATCCAACTCCAGGGAGATCCTAGTTCTCCTGGGTCTAATCAATATTTGAGTATATGCATAGTAAACAGCTATATTTGAGCTTTCATACTATCTTCTAGGACTTGGGTATTTGCTTAATTTTTCTCTGGAAAAAATAAATCAAACTCACTGATTAATGATTTGGGGGCAAAAATTTATCTCACTCTGTCAAGCCCAATTATGCCTGAGATCTTATTAAGCAGCACCCATTTTCTTCATGTTGCATGGCAATTCTGCTTGATTCCAACCAGAAACAGGAATGTTCATTAAATAATAACTGGAAAAGATGTTGACAGTGATGGAGCAATTCTATGCATGTCTAATCAGAAGTAAACACTTCCAGTATTTTTAAAATAAATAAGTACAGGAATATAGCTGTAGCAAATCTACCTCTTATCCTAAAGCAGGGGTGTCAAACTGCTGGCCATGGGCGGGTTGCATCACATGGAGGCCATACTGCCCCAGCTCCGGCAATGCAAAAAAAGTTGTGATACGTCACAACATGTCGCCATGACGCAGCGAGTTTGACACCCGTGTCCTAAAGTTAACAACTAAAATCAATCTGAAAGAAATAAATAGATGGGAGGAAAACAGTCAAGGATTTTTGGGTTGAGCAAATAATCTATTTTTAAGAATTTCCTCTATTATGTAGATCTATATGGAAGTTTAAAACTGACCCACCAAATATAGAAAAAACATACATTCATTTTTTAGAAATGGAAATTTTGGTTATTTAGCATACTCAGCCTATTCATATTACTGTCTTCTATACATTACCAGTCAAAATTGTATGTGTAGTTTACACACGCTTATACATATACACAATCACCAAAGTCTGCATATGTATCAATCAAATATTTATAAGACACATATTCAGGTATGTCTCTGTTCTTGATATATACAGAGTTTATGTAAACACACACACATATTTATATATATTAGTGTATGTGTGTATTTATACACTTATATTTGCAGCATAGGGAAGAAAGACATTCTCTTTATAAGCGTGATTGTCACATTTGCTTAATGTAGAATGTTAGTTGACACTTTAAGCATGACAACAATATGCTATACACAATATTTATTAAAACCTTTCTTTTCTTTGGGTATGACATGTGTATATGTATATATGCATACATGTATACACACACACACACACTATATATATATATATATATATATATATATATATATATATATATATATCCACTTGAATGACTAAATGCAAATAAGTTAATATCATTCCTACAAGACAATAGTTTCTATTCACAGGTCCACATTTACAGCACAACCCAAGTTTTAGCCACACTGTACAGAATGCTGACTGTATAGAGCATTTGATCCTTTAAAAAGGATATGTGGTTATGCTACTGCACACTACATTATGACACAGTACTTTTAATTACTCTATTATTCTTTTCCAGAAAGGAAAAAAAGGATACCATCTGGTAAAAAATTACATCCATTTTGGTATACAATTCTTCAGCAATCATATAATACACATGCTTATTCTCAGACTAAAGCCATCTTTAAATTGATACATTTTAATGAAGCTGTTTTCCACACTGACATGTGATTTATAATCCAGCTGTTATCAAATTCAGGCCGTCTCTGACATTCCTCATATTTTCAGTTTTATTTGTAGCACTTCCACACATCCCAAGACACAAATGCAACATCAATTTGTCCAGTGTGGAAAGGCAAAGTGCCATTAAGGCTCCTCAGAACACTCAGCATATTTTAAACTAGGCTCTTGTTTATAGGTCATATCTGTTTTATTGGTTCCCTGTGATCAAGGCTGAATGATTAATGATAAATATCTTCTTAATTATCCCTTGAATGGCCTTTCTTAAGGACTTTATGTCAACTTCTATTTCCTCTGATAAGGAAAGTCTTCACCACAATTTGCTTGGTGGGGTTTATTGTTAAGTTTATTCTGAATAATGAAATAACATTTCCTTATTAAAAAATAAATTTCCAAGCAAAACAATCATTAAGGCTTCTCATTCTTCACCAGAAGAGAGAAACTGATGGGACGTGCAAAGTAGGAGCTCTTAATGAATATTGATTGGCAAAGGGCTTGCTGAGCATCTCTACTTGTGACTAAATATTATGGAGTACAGAAAGATCTGGAATATAAAAAAGAACAGAGCTGAAAATTTACTACCATCAGAGGTGTCATGAGTAGCATTCCTTTTAATTCCAATTTTGCCCCACTGGTCATCAAAATTAGGGAATTCTGTCAGAACTGCAATTTTTCAGAAATTATGAAAGTGCATAGTCCATGGATAGATGTGCTTTTTGGTAATCTCTGACACTTCAGATTTTGTTTTCTGTTTTCATTGGAAACAGACTAGAGCAGTTTGTCCCAAACTGTCACCCTTAATCTTTTTCAGGACTGCAAACTACAGAATTCCCAGTTAGATTCTAATGGGAATTGCAGTTCTAGCATAACTGGGGGCATCAAACTTGAGAAAATTGAAAAAGAATGACACTGTATAAACAAAATTGATTTTAAAGTCAGTATGCAAAAATGAACTTTCAATATTTTTCTCTTTTTTGTCTTTATGTATTACTTTTCAGTCATCACTTAAATAATCTTCAAAATCTATTTCATATTAATCATCCTGACAGTTAAAAAAATCCTGTTGAAACTTGTATAGGAATTAATGTGTGTGTGTGTGTGTGTGTGTGTGTGTGTGTGTGTACACGACAATATATATATTCAATACTACACAATCTTTGAAGTCTGGGAAGATTGTGTAGTATTGAATAGATATGCCCGGGATTCGGATTTTTACAGTTATTAAGGATATATATATATATATATGGCTTAGACATATACTGTTATATGTATAACTTAGCAACTTCTAAAATGACATAATAGAATCCAGCTTCAGCACTATTCACATTTCTAATTTTAGTTCAGATATGAAACAAGATCAGCATCTTTCTAGATTGCAAAAAGGATGCTTTAAAAGAAGAAATGTAAGTCAAACACATTTAAAATGATTCTGGAAACAATTAGAAAAATAAGTGTCAAATCTTTAAAATAAAATTACAATTACAAAACATTTAGGAGCTCTATATTCATAACCTCCTTTAGTGATTTAAAATATCCCCTCCACATTTTTGCAGCAGTTCTGAATTTATCTCATCATGATATCTTATAATAAAAATAACTTGACATGTATATCCTAAACCGTCCACATCTATATGTAATATGTTTCTGTTAACCATATAGTATAATATTTGCCACTCCTAAACGAAAAGATGGCCATTCTAAACATTCAATATTCAATTATCTGTTCAACCAGTAACTGGTTCTCATCCTTATTTTTCTGACTTTTCTCCAGAGTTTCTCAAATAAATATTCAACATTGTTGCATGGCCCTATTGCACCTGTAACAATACTGTACATATGTTTCACAGCAGCAATTTTGTTACAACTAAATATAGGAATTTTTATGCCTGCTTGAATGTGCAATGAGATATGAGACTTTTTTTCAGAATGAATAGAATGAATTAACTGATAAAATGTATGCTGAGTTTGGGGAAAGGATTGTTAGGAAACTGCCAGGTAGGCTGAAAAGAGGGATCAAGCAAGGGCCTAGCTTAGAGTCCTTGCACAGCCACAAGAGGCATAAGCTTGACCTCCACCCAAGTTTCATGAAGCTCTGATCATTCCTGGGGTAAGGTAATCTGGGGAAAATCTTATAATATAGGTAGAAATCAATAAAGTTGTTTACTTCAGCCATTTACAGATGGTTCTGACTGCTTGTGCCTAACAAGGATAAACAGAAGATGAATAGAAGGACAAGGATCAGCAAGTTCTGTTGTAATCTCTATATTATCCATGTCTAGTTTTTCCCATATCCTGGGCATCCTAAGCTAAAACCAACTAGATGTGTGGGGTTTCAATTCCATTCCAACCCAACCAGAGGCATCAGATTTGAGGCATAACATATTTGACATAATGCCACTGTATTATAGCCCTGTTTTCAAAAGAGCCCTAGAAACTATTCTGCACTTTAATATACCCAACCATGCACTTGCATTATCAAAAACTAACTAGGGAATTCTTGTAATAGTGACATCAGGAGAAACTATAGCAAGGTGAACCTGGGGGATTCTAATTGGGCATAAGGTGATACAATTCTGGGAAATGTGACCAAGACCTTTACTTTTCAGTCCAGTTGACACAGAAGCCCCTTTCGTTATACAAAAAAAAACCTTTGCAGTGGGAATGATGCCTTTATTTCCCTGTATGTCTCTCAAGGGAAAGCACCAGGTTCCTACTCTTTCATTAAATAATTACATTATTCTGTAAAATGTTTCATTGGATGCCATCTGATCTGATCATTTTTCAAAAGAGAAGATTATATAAGATGCCAACTGATTTTTTCCCCCTTCAGGTTGACCTCAACTGGAAATAAAATAATTATTTTCGATAGAGAATGCCAGTCTACTGCACTTGACACTTCCATTTTCCACACAGATGCCAAAGCAAATAAAGTAGAGGCAATTCCATAGATGTTCCAGATATCCATACAGCAGAAGTCACAAGGTTTGAGTCTTTTTTTTTCCCTTTTTTATCCAGATCAAAGGCAAAAGGACAACAAGGCATTTAAGCTGTGATGAGCAAAACCGAGTATCTGCTGATAAAACAGATCAGGTTGTTAAGGCCTTTGTCTATGCAGAGTTATAATAATGCAGAAGCCTGACTGAATAGAAATTGGGGGGAAATAGAGCAGATGGGGAGATATATGTCAGTAAAGTCACAACGTCAATATTGTGTTTACAGAGGAAGAGATGCACACAGCTTGCCCTTTGAAAGCTTCTCCGTATCTTTGTATTTAATACTGCCAGAGTTAATAACACATTGTAATGGAGTTTAGTTGCAACGGAAACATTCATTCACACACTTCATATAAGGAAGTGCTAGGAATTTCTACCCTAGAATATCCAGGTAGACTGGAGAGGCCTTGGCCAAGTTCTGAAGGAGGGAGTAGATTTCTTTGATATTGAGTCTCATATGAGGCTCCCGCTGCCAGCACCCAAGCATCAGGTCATATACTTCCTTTGGGCAAGTACGAGGTCGCTGTAGGACACGGCCCTGAGTTATACACTCAATTACCTGAAGAAAGGACAAGAAGAGAGCCCATTGATTTGTTTGTTTCGTTGGCAATACATCATTGCCCAATACATGCAAAGATAATCTCACAACATGTTTGCCTAACACTTTTGCACTCTTATTCCTATTTATTTAGTGTAAAAAAATACAATTTTTTTATTTGCACCAGAATAATGACAGCAAGGCAAGGCAAGGCAATACATAAAAAATAAAGTCATTACATTTCATTGATACATTGGGGAAAATGAGCTATACTGGTACACAAGGAAGATTTTTCAATATTTCTTTCCTCCTTTTCTTATAATAGTAATTTATTGAACTTCTATGCAGACCAATTCCCAGTTTTGAATATTTTGATTTTGGAGTTAAATTTAAATTTAGTAACTAGAACAATTGAATTGTACAATGAGCCAGAACACACATGAGGCAATCTGAGCTGTGATTGGTTCTTGGCTGTAGAGGGAGAGTTTCCCTTTTTCCCGCCTTTTTCTTCTCTGTGCTATGTGTGTTCTGTGATTTACCTCATGATGCGCCTGTTTGCCTGACTATCTTATTTGCAGTAAATATAGATGTTAAATATATTTATTTATATAAAACCACAAGTCATGTCAGTGTCTCTGACTTCATTTGGAAACCTGCTGTGCAATTCCCTGATAGGATGCTTGCAGCACTGCTGCAGCACAACCTAGTCTTGGCTGAACAATTCGGAGGTTGTGGTCAATTCCTTCCTCATCCCTGCAATTTCTGCCTTAAAATTAATGCAGGAAATTTCCAAATTTTCTTATGGTGAAGCCCCTGAATATATCCAGTGAAAACTAGATCAGTTTCATGTCCTGTAAAGCAGGGGTCCCTAAACTTTCTGAGTTGGTGGCCTGGTGGGAAAGGGAGGGGCAGGCACCTTTACATGTGCAAGCGCACACATGCAAATGTGGCTGCCCGTGCATATGTGCAAATAGGGCCACAAGCATGCATGCTCTGCGAACAGGGCTGCGAGCATGCACATGGTGCTTGCGGCAGTGCTAGCACGGCATGTGTGCATGCATATATTGTGTGTGCACTGATCAGCCACTCATGTGGCCCAGTGACCAAAAGGCCATGGCCCGGTAGTGGGCCATGGGCCACAGGTTGGGGACCTCTGCTCTAAAGAGCTTGCTATCATTATATTTTTATCCCATTTTGACAAAGATGAAGCAGCTGCCAATTTGATGCTTCCTCGTTCTAGCCTATGAACAAATGATTTTTCAAGGTGGTTTCTCCTCAATTTGCAAAATCAAATTAAATCTCTTCAAATTTCCTGTCTGAATTAAGTTGTGACTGACTTTATACAGGGCTTTTGCACTGGCATTGATGGAATCTTAAAAAAGAAGGTTCCACTATACCAGGGGTAGGCAACCTTGGCTCTTTTATGACTCGTGGACTTCAACTCCCAGAATTCCTGAGCCAGCCATGCTGAGGGGAAAGGGAGAGATTTCCAAGCTGAGCCATGCTGGCTCAGGAATTCTGGGAGTTGAAGTCCACGAGTCATAAAAGAGCCAAGGTTGCCTACCACTGCACTATACTAAGAAGCTTATTAGTACAGAATGGTAATATAGAGCAATATCCACATACCTCATTGTTTGAGAGCTGGTACCATGGCTGTTTTCCGTAGGTAAAGATTTCCCAGAGAACAACGCCAAGGCTCCAGACATCACTTTCCGTGGTGAACTTTCTATACATGATGCTTTCAGGTGGCATCCAACGAATAGGTAGCATGGTATGTCCACCAACCTGGTGAAAAAGAGAGAAGCTTATGGGTCTGGAGGAGTAATGAAATATCCAAGGTTGCATGATGTTTTATTATTTGGATTTGACATATTACAGTATGTGCAATGATTACAAGTTCGACTAGTGTTATCAAGCATTTTCTTCCACCGTATTACTATATTTAGAGAATTCCGCTGCATGTACTACAATTGAGCTCCATGTGGAAAGTACAGTGAGGGAAATTGAAAAAACCCAAAAAGTATTTTTTCAGTTACAAGTTACTATTGATTTTTGACCACCATCATCACCGCTTTAAAAAGGGCCAGCTGCCTTTCTTGTTTTATATTCTCCAGAGAATATGAGATAGAGTGAAAATTGATATTTTTCAGATAATCTCTTCTTCCTGATCTTGATACGGCCACAGCAATACATACTGTATGTATGTATGTAGAGAGAGAGAGAGAGAGAGAGAGAGAGAGAGAGAGAGAGAGAGAGAGAGAGAGAGAGAGAGAGACTCACCAACTAATTCATTAATGAATAAGTGGATATTTTAGGCAGTAGACAAATACATATTTTATTTACAACTTGCTTCAGTTGTGCTGGATTATAACAATTACATAATCCTATATTCTAACAGAGTCAATTTAGTGTAGCGATGAAGGCATCAGACTAGAAACCAGGAGATTGTGACTTCTAGTCCTGCCTTGGGCATAAACCAAGTGGGTGACCTTGGGCCAGTCACTCTCTCTCAACCATAAGAAGCAGACAATGGCATACCACTTCCAAGTACTTCCATTTCCCAACAACCCTGCTATGAAAAATGCAGGGACTTGCTCAGGTAATCACCAGGAGTCAACACAGACTCAAAGGCATCATAAACAAATAATAGACAAAGGGTTGATAAACTTTTCAAGAAGCTAGAAAGCCATTTGTTGGTGATTCCATAAGTCTGGATTTCCTGAACTAAGCAGCATCACATGCATATATATACCATAACCAAAGCTGTTACTGGGTCTCAATGCTCAGCATCCAACATCTTATAAATGGGCTTCCATCATTTGCTGCTACTGTATTTGTAATACCTTTGTAAGGGCTCAGCCTTTACTTTACACATCTGGGATCTATGTGTGAAGCACTCCTGGTGTTCTGTGTTCCTCTAGAGATTTGTTTTGCTTCTAGAGCACATTACAAGCTGCTTATCATGGGCTGTCAGAGCCAGGATGTGTAAAAAATTCTCTTAACCGAATCAATATGATCTATGGCTACATATGAAAAGGAGAGCATTAATAATGTACTGTCAGCATGCATACCAGACATAAACACAGATTTCATTTCTGACCTTTGCTCTAAGAAGAGCTGGGATGCAAACAGCTTTTTCATTTGCTTGGTGGTTTCATTCACTGTAGTAGAAAGCTTTTTTTTTTTATAAAAAAAAAACCTCATAGAAATATGTGGTTGCACACAAGGAGCATAGGGCAAGTGTCATTAGAACATTATTAGTTGTTAGAGGCTTGGGGTTCATTAAATATTCAGTGGCTTTAAAATTTGTTCACCATGTTGCATCTATAGCTGCAAACCCTGTTCAATGGGTTTTATGGCACACTCTTTAAAAAATTAATGAAAATGGGCACTGTAAAACCTATTTTTTCTTTTATTGCGATTTTTCTAGGATTTATGTTTTTTCCCCAGCCTTAAGAAATGCAAAAGCCTACAAGTCAGTGAAGCAATATTCATTCTTCTTATTAGCCTGTTATATTAGATAATTAGATAGCACAATAACAGACATCACATGACTGTTAAGATTAAATACACCTAACAAGGGGAAGGATGGGGAGAAAAAAATATATTAAGAATACTTAATGTTTAGAATGAGAATAAGAATAGAGCTGGGAAGGAGCTTGGAGGTCTTCTAGTCCAGCCCCTGTCTCAAGCAGCAGATCTTATACAATTTCAGACAAGTGACTGTCCAGTCTCTTCTTAAAAATCTCCAGTGATGGAACACCCACAACCTCTGAAAGCAAGCTGTTCCACTAGTTAATTGTCCTCGCTGTTAGGAATTTTCTCCTTAATTCCAGGTTGCTTCTCTCCTTGATTTACACCCATTGTTTCTTGTCCTGCCCTCTGGTGCTTTGGAAAATTAATTTTTCTAAGTTGGTTTAATTAATCAACTTAGCCATCATAATATCAGAATTATTTTTATTTCTGTACCTTTCATTCCTGTGAAACGACTTGCTGAAGATCAACTTTCTAGTTTTATGGTGAAACAAAAATTAAGTCTCCTCCAAGTCTAAAACCTAATTACAAAATATAACCCTTGAAGGATTCTTATGCTTTCATCTAGCTGGCTTTGATCTCATGTCTGGATATTGTGACATTTTACAAAGATTGAGGCTAACTATATGCACAGTATAGATTCTGTTAGGCCGACTCCCATCAAGGGCTTCCAATGGAATTGAAGGTAGAAAGAAACCTAGGGGAGATGCTGACATAACAGTTATCTGCCTCTCTCAGTTAGCTGTTTGTTTTTTTTCCAAAAGGCAACTGGACTGAACTGAAGAAGCTTCTTGGATGAGAAGCAAAATGTTTTCAAAGAAAAAAAACCAAGAAAGTCCTGCTGCCTTCTGGAAAAAAGCACCTTTGAGACAATCGTGACCTGGATGACTGGGAATCTGACAGGTACTGAGCTGTTCATTTCCCTAGTCTTCACACACACACACACACACACACACACACACACACACACACACTCATACAGACAAGCAAGAGCCAATGATGGGAGCTTTGGTTGGGAATGGCAAGAGTAGACAGGATCATAGCACTGCATTCATTGCCACTGTTCCTTCCTTCCACCTGCTAATCAGTGGGAGTCCTACCCTTCTTAAACATGCATCTTTCAGCCTGTTGTAAGGCCCACTCATGTTGCAAAGAGGGCTACCTGTTTATAACATAAACCTCCTTCCCTTGCTGACTATTTCATTCATGCTCACTTTAGGGCCATGGTGATAATAAACACTCTCTGCTTTTGTGGAGTGCAAAAGAAAGGCAGCGAGGAGAGAGTTGCTGCATACTAATTGACACATTTTAATGACTGCCTTCTCTTACTCCCTCTTTGCCCATCCCCTTCTCTGAATTGCTGCTTTCAAGCATGTGCAGCTCGCAACCATGGAAACCAAGTCTCTAAATGCACAAAACCCACCACATCAACCTTTGGAGCATACTGCTGGTGAATTTCCAAAAGATACAATAGATGGGGAGAGGACCATGAGGAAAGTGATTGCCTTTACAGGCATGGCGCTCTAATCCTGATAGATTTATTTTCTAGAGGACAAAAGCTTGCACATGCATTCTACTAGTAAACACTATTTAGCACTGAATGTAGTATGCAGCATCCTAGCAACCATGCGTGTACACTAATAAATTATAGTACAACCCCCCCCCATCAGAGTTCAAACACAGCAGCTAATTTGCCTCCTGTTCCTATACCATGGTAGCAAAATCCCTCTTCTTCTCTTTTTTTCTTTTTTATCCCTTTGAGTCAGTCTTGACTCCTGGTGATGGCCAGGTCAGGTCCTTGTGGTTTTCATGACAAGATTTTGGAAGCAGTTTGCAATAGCCTCCTTCCTAGGGCTGAGAGAGAGAGAGAGAGAGAGACAGGCTGTCCCAAGATCATCCAGCTGGCTTCATAGCTAAGGCGCAACTAGAACTAGTCTCCCAGTTTCTAATCTGGTCCCTTAGTGTCACCAAAGGATTCTCACTTATGTTCTTACCTTGGTACGGAACTGAACTTGTGGTGATATCATATCTGAAAAAGCATAATGGTGCTGTTTAAAGTATGGTTAAGTAGAGCTGCAAAGATCAGAATACAGCCAGTGGTGGGATTCAAATCCCTGAACTGATTCTCTGCGTGGATGCAGGCCTGGGCCTCCGAGACCTAGAACAGACTTCTGGAATTGGCATCCCTGCACTTCCGGGGGTCTGTTCTAGGCCTGGGAGGTCTCCTTCAGGGGTGCATTCAGCCAGTTCTCCGAACTCAACAAAATTTAACTACCAGTTCTACCGAACTGGTGCGAACCGGCTGAATCCTAAAGCAAACAGTGATCAGGAATCATCTCTTTTCTCTCTCTTTTCTTCTCCTACCCAGCTTGGTTCTATGAAAAATCAGGATATTTTTTTCCCTAGTACCTGACATGATCCTCTAGAGAAAGGTTTTCAAATTAGACTAAGGGCTGCACCAAAGTGTACAAATTATCTATCCTTGTCACTGATACTGCTTTACTTTATTCAAAGTTTACTCAAAGATGCAAAGCATCTTCTCAGAAATAACATCCAAATAACGTGAAACTCCAGGTGCAGATATGACAAAACATTGATATCCCAGTAATCCCAGTATCCTTGAATTGTGGAACTTTTGCTTGGTACTTTTGGCACTGAATGCTAGCATAAAGGTCCCAAGGTAGTTCTTTGACTACAGAGTTATGTGAGTGATATAATTGAGGGAGGAAGGAAGGAAGGAAGGAAGGAAGGAAGGAAGGAAGGAAGGAAGGAAGGAAGGAAGGAAGGAAGGAAGGAAGGAAGGAAGATGTCCTCCATAACAGAGAAGATATATGACTCAAGTTCAGGTGTAAACTTTAATTTTATCTATGAGGAAACAGTACATCTTCTATCTAAAAGTTCAACAAAACTGGATCATTCACCCACCTCCACCACAAATGGGTGTGATTCTTTATTGATCAGCCTTCGGCAATGGGGATAGGGAAGGATACATTTTTTAAAAAAGGGGAAAATTCACAGTGAAGCAAGTTTCCGTGGAGAAGGCAATGACAAAATAATATTCTGGAAAACCTGGACAAACTGTAATGAGCAAGAGGAAGCCTGGAAAAGTTTTCATTTCAGTGTAATCTCATGTTATAGCTCCTCAGAGGTAAGTCAACTTTGATCTTTAAATAACTTTCCTCTTAATAATTGTAATTTAACCTGCTCATACTCAACAGTCTTCAGATTCCTTTAAGACTCTGAGATGCTGC